GGTACCCAATTCTTCCGAGGATGCTACTCGCGCGTTGCGTGGACAACCGAAGCGACTTTCTCGAAACTACCTGAGAGGAAATGGCGGGAACGTTTTGATTTCGTTTCAGTAGCAGATCGAGATGTTTTCTGCACTCTTAGCCGTCTTTTTGTGCGGCTGGGCTTTCGTTTGTTTTGTGCTCGTTTGGCTGTTCAGTATTTGGCTGTTTATTCGGTCGCAGGCTGTTTAATTATGCAAACTTTAACGGCAACGGTAACTAATACAATGGTTGTGTAAGCGTGCGTTATAATTCTTTGTTCATTTCTTTATCGTTGTTTACAAAAGGTCACAAAACAACAGCGTGAAATAGCCACATTCTGCATATCCGAGAGAACGTGAACTACACGACGATCAATTCTTAAAATTTCTTTTTCGACTTTTGACGCTGTCTTACATATTCTGTTTGGGATATTTCTGACAGCATAGACAAACTGAATGAATCTAAATACTCGCGAGATTCGTGGGTTGAATATTAAGTCGTTTTTTAATCGATGTTGCCTTTGGCGTTGTTGCCGTTGCTGCTTGAACTGCTTTTGCTACTTGGACAGCGAGCGTCCTCCTGTACTTTCAACTATCTGTTTGTTCGCTTGCCAAGCTGTGTTTGCTTTGCACTCGTTTGTCTACTCATTTCTCTGCCGTTCATTCAGTTGTTATTGTTTGTGCAGGGGACATCCGTCTCTTATTTAAACTCCTATTAAGTTTCGAAGTGTATTAAAACATACCGAGAGCCAAAACTCCTTTGCTTGCAATCAAAATATCAAAGAAGACATCTCCACAGCATTGGAGGTTTTCCTTTGCTTTGAAACGAAACGAAAACAGGTCCTCCACGAAAAAATTCACGCAACACGCGAGTAATATCCGCGGAAGAACTGGGTACAATGTCTAAAAATAACTTAAGAGGAATTACCTTAGAGGGTCTATATGGGGGATTCACTCTCTTAACATGATAATCTCTTGGTGATTACCCTATGGAGCCATCTTAACCTTCGGAC